TTCCACCACTACGCAATAGATTCTTTTTTCTAAAACAAGATAAAAGGAAATATTAGATACCCGATACTCAGCACAAGGGATTGCGAGATAAAACTAAACATTTTCGTTGCTGATATTTGTACCCAAAAAAATTGTCGTATGCAGATAGTTCATAGTTTTCACTAGTGTTGCCTTTAATAAAGTTTTGTTCTTGGCAAGCATTTGTAAGTTGGTTTATTCAATCAAAACGTCTGTCAAAATACAGGGGATTAGAAACCGTCAAAAATGACGTCTGTGACACCGAGATTTGCTTTTCGGGAGAAATTGGGTTGGAAGGGATTTCTGTGACACCCCGAATATCACGCTTTGAGGTTGAATTCATTGTCAACTTTCGAGTGTTGTCGAATTCATGAAATGGGGCTTATGTCAACACGAATCAGTCCATTTCATGAAATGAAAGCGCGAAATGACCATCGCATAAATAGAGTAACAGATAACTAAAACGCCTAGGAGTTCTTAAAAAATTAATTTTACATTACTAAAAGACACAGTTAGTGGTAATGATTTTAATTCTTATTATATTTTTATTTATTTATGTATGTCTTACAACTATAAGTATAACAGTATTTGAGCTATTTATGGAGGGCGTAAGAGTATATCAGTTATAAGTATGAGTAATATGCAGGTATGTTATATTTTTGACTGTGCCAAGGGATTCGTCCTCATCCGAATAATTTGTGCTGTCTTTCTTTGGTCACCGGTATGCCCTGGCTATTTTTGGCCTTGGAAAAGCGCTGGTTGGGTTCGAAGTTGATTTCCGTGTTCGTAGCTACCAGGGTGTTCGCTCCATTGCCGTGTCCAGGTGCTGCAGTGTTTCCCTGACCGAACTGGTGGATTGTGTTGTCAGATATTTTTCCCGGCAGAATATGTTTCATTGGGTTATTAGTGCGGCAGGAACCATTTCCTGGGTTCATACTAACAGGCATGATATGTTTTACCGGGTTAGCTCTAACCATGTTGTTTACGCTGTTGTTGGCCGGGTTCATGGTAAGCTATGTACATCCAGTGCTATACCTGGGAGCAACGCTATTTTCCTAACCGTACGGGCTTGTATTTGTATTTATATTGTTGCCCTGGTTATAGTTTCCATAGGTGTTATAACTTCCTTTATTGCAGTTGCCAATGTAGCCCGGGTTTGCGTACATAAGCGTGTTTCCCGTTGCGGTTGTGTTGCCCTGGTTAAAGATGAGTTGGCCTTCCGGGTTGCCCTGACCCACGTTATTCGCGTTGCTGGTCGGGATGGAACCGTTGCCTGGGTTTTCAAGGATCTTAGTACCGGATTGTCGGGTAATGTGTTCAGATCCGATGGTGATGCCGTGTGTGAAAACACCTGATTTGATTCCCTGGTTGATGTTTGCATACTGGTTTTGCCCTTCCGATTGCCGCGGCCAATATTATTCGTGTTGCCCTGTGCATAAACGCCCGAATTTTGTTTTGTGCGTACACGACAGTATTGGGTGATTTATTTGTGCTGGACCTAGAATTGGCTCCAGGATCTCTTAAAATGTTGTTCAAAAGCCAAGGAAAGAGCCTAGTAGAAACACGATAGAACACATATTATAAATACAAAATATACAAGGACTTCTTAGTCACTTCTGGACAACAGAAAGGTGATACAACACATTTTACAGAAACAAAAAGGGTCGGGATCGCGAAAAAGTAACTTCTGAGACACTTCTGTGTGTTTTACAAAATCATAAAGGGCCGGGAAAGCTAACAATCTTCAGATGCATTTCTGGGCGCTAAAACGACGATAGAAAAAATTGTACAAAAACAAAGTTATTGTGAAAAAAACTGTCTTTCAAATGACTTATGGAAGTGGAAAAAATGATAGAAAGGAAGACAAACAAGAGAAAACGCTATAGTCGATGGCCTTGACTATTAGATACCCCTTACTCAGCTAAAGGGAGTGCGAGAGGGATGGAGATATGCTTAAAGCCAACCTGTTTTTTTCACTAACACACCTAGCCTTTAGGGCCACCTATCTTCTTTTTCTATAGAGCCACATAGCGCATGTAGTCCCAACACTCCAGCTCCTGTAGTTTTCGAGATCTCAGCGTTCGGTCCGTATGAACGCGTTTCCGTCCCCATAAAGTATATATATTCTTGATCAGGGTCACTAACCGAGTCGATCTAGCCATGTCCACCTGTCTGTCCGTCCGGATGAACGCAGAGATCTCGGAAACTATAAGAGCTAGGCTATTGGGATTTGTCATGCAGATTCCTGAGCTTCTTACGCAGCGCTAGTTTGTTGTCAGCAGCGTGCCACGCCCACTCTAACGCCCAAACGCCTAAAATAAACATTTTAACTGAAATGTATTGTTTTCATCAATACCTATCGATTGACCCAAAAAAAGTTTGCCACGCCTACTTTAACGCCCAAAACGCTTAAATCTAATTGAATATATCTCCATCCCTCTTCCACTCTATTGAGATTGGTAATTATAAACAAGGAAGAACGCTATAGTCGAGTACCTCGACTATCAGGTACCCGTTACTCAGCTAAATGGAGATATGCAAGCAGCAAAGCGAGATTAAAATGCGCCACCTACCGGCGGTAGACAGATTTAAGCGTTATGGGTGTTAAAGTGCGCGTGGCAAACTTTTTTTTGGATTAATCGATAGGTATTGACGAGACCAATACATTTGAGATAAAATTTTGTATCTAGCATGAAAATTTTGGGCGTCACAGGTTTAGGCGGTTTGTGGGCGTTAAAGTGGGCGTGGCAAACTTTTTTTTAGATCAATCGATAGGTATTGATGAGAACAATACATTTCAGTTAAAATTTTTATTCCAGCATCAAAACTGTAGGAGCCACAGTTTTGGGCGGTTTGTGGGCGTTAGAGTGGGCGTGGCTCTATGCTGAAACAAACTTGCGCTGCGTAAGAAGCTCAGGAATCTGCACGCCAAATCTCAATAGCCTAGCTCTTATAGTTTCCGAGATCTCAGCGTTCATACGGACAGACGGACAGACGGACATGGCTAGATCGACTCGGCTAGTGATCCCGATCAAGAATATATATACTTTATGGGGTCGGAAACACTTCCATCTGCCTGTTACATATTTTCCGACTAATCTAGTATACCCTTTTACTCTACGAGTAACGGGTATAATTATTGTTTGGTTATAACTTTTTAATGAACGGACAGACGGACATGGCTAGATCGAATCGGTTAGTGATCCTGATCAAGAATATATATACTTTATGGGGTCGAAAATGCTTCCTTCACATACTTTCCGACGAACTAATATACTCTTTTCCTCTAACAGTATCGTGTATGAAAAGTCTGCAGTAATGTACATAATTAAGATAGAAATCAAACAAATATTATCAAATAATATTGACTTAACACATCATATGAATTTTTAATGGATACTTCAGAGATTAACGCACAGCCAGACTTGAATTTTTGACAGGAACTATATTATGAATCGAGCCATGTGTTGAGGTCATACCCGTGATGGTTACAAATTACACGTCGGTAAATTTTAGGCGATTATGTTCAATAATGTGTGAAATACTACGAGAATCAAGTAAAGTAGAGTAAAATTTAGACCTTGGAAAATGTTGAATGTCAAAACATTCTTACAGATTAACATGAGGACTGAAAAAGGGGCCTAGGAATGTACGCTCTAATAAATCTTAAGCTGGTTTTTAGTATTCTTAAGCAACTATTTTGACCAAAACTGTATTTGCGTGTGCGTCCGCCACTTGATCTGTTCCATCACTCTATGGGAGCACCGTACACTGACAACTTCCTCGCAAATTGTTCGTCTGTGTGTGACAGTGACAAGCACATAAAAGTAAATACGACATGATATTCACCCCCAGTGTCAGTGCCCCAACTCCGGGTTGTCTGCCATTGTTTGTCGAAAAGGACCCTCATATGTGGGGCACTGGCCAAGGAGCATGTAAAAGGTTAACACCCCCAAACCAGAGGGCCGAACATCCAACACCCAACACATTTAAGCTCAATTTGTACTAATTAATACTGAATTCGACTCCCGGCAGGGCAGCAATTGAGTTTCTGTAGTGGTGTTCCCATTAAGAGCTTCAGCCCATTTGAATGGAAGCCGTCAATTGATGTCAAGGTGAATGGGTCAGTCGAGTGATAGGCACTTACCACACAAAGCGAAATAAATCCGAATTAGATCGACACAGAGCAAAAACACCAACAGTTTAATGGCGGCTTCAAAAATTTTGTTGGCTTTACATTTGTTTTATTTTTTTTAGGATTTTTTTTATGGATTTTAAAAATGTTTAATAAAATGTATTAAAATCATTTATTTAATGAGTGATAGAGATAAGTCTTCGACCCTATAAAGTATTAATATTCTTGATCAGGATCACTAGACCTATCTTAGCTAGAGAGTTGGAATTTCATATTTAGAGCCTTAGCTTCTGCTTAGTTTATTATCTGAATGAGCCCACAACGTTAAGCTTGGATACCGTCCACAGTTGTAAAGACTTTGAAATAGTGTATTTGACATTTTGTTTCGCTTATCAATACCAATCTACACGTCAAAAATTATTCAATTATTCCATAGGGTTCAAATTTGACATTAAGATTCTACTAGTGCCTACTAAGCCCATGTTCCTTATCCGAGTGCCACGCATACTCTGTGGCGTTCTCCCTTGCTATGACTAAAAAAGAGAAATATTTTATCTGTCTTTAAAATATTAACCAATCAAGATAAGAATGGTCAGCATTCATTTGCCCTTAGTGTCGTTTTTCTTGGAACTTTCTAGTCAGGGACCCATTACTTTTACTCTAGGAGTAAAGGGTATACAAATGAACAACACAATCATATAGCTTTTACAAATAAATATATGGATCCTTAAAGTCGCATACTTATTGTTAGTTACTTATTGTTGTGTCAAGGGCTATTTAAAATATTAATATTAAGATTTAAATTCGGTTTCATTAATCATCCACAAAACTTACATATGTGTTTCAGGTTATTGGCCACTTGGCTTTACTTGGTGCAACATTTATGTGACCTGTGATGTGCTGGCCTGTTCCTCCAGCATCCTGCATATGTGCTTCATAAGTTTGGGACGCTATCTGGGAATACGGAATCCATTGGGCTCGAGACATCGGTCTACGAAACGATTGGCTGGTATTAAGATAGCCATTGTTTGGGTAATGGCCATGATTGTATCCAGCTCGATAACAGTCCTGGGTATAATAAAAAAAGTTTGTAAATTGAAAGTTGTTTTTACATCAGTATCTCGTGTACTCAGGTCTGGTCAACGAGAAGAACATTATGCCTGAGCACAACGTCTGTGTAATAAACAACCGCGCCTTCTTCGTTTTTGGATCTCTGGTGGCATTTTATATCCCCATGCTCATGATGGTCACTACTTACGCACTCACCATTCCCCTCCTCCGCAAGAAAGCACGTTTTGCCGCAGAGCATCCGGAAAGTGAACTCTTCCGCAGGTAAGAGTATGTAATAATGGGTTGCCCAAAAAGTAATTGCGGATTTTTTAAAAGAAAGGAAATGCATTTTTAATCAATTTTAGAATGAACTTTAATCAAATATATAATTTCCATTTTGTTCGATAACCTTTATATAGTATAGTATACTATACAAATACATTTGCCTCTTATTTATTCAAAACTCTTGATGGTGGCGATAAACCCAGAAAAAAATAGTACTTAAAAATTTGTAATAAATGTAAATTGTAAATTGTAGTTTTAGGTAATGGCTTACCCTACTTTTAAGGTTAATAGTAGACAAAATTTAAATTCCAATGAGTGCTTTAAAATAAGTCCATATGTCCAAAAAAAACAAGGAAGAACGCTATAATCTAGTACCTCGACTATCAGATACCCGTTACTCAGCTAAATAGAGATATGCAAGCAGCAAAGCGAGATTAAAATGCGCCACCTACCAGAATTAAGCGTTATGGGCGTTCGAGTGGGCATGGCAAATTTTTTTTTTAATCAATCGATAGGTATTGACGAGACCAATACATTTCAGTTAAAATTTTTTATCTAGCATGAAAATTGTTGGCGTCACAGGTTTTTGCGGTTTGTGGGCATTAAAATGGGCGTGGCAAACATTTTTTTGGATCAATCGATAGGTATTGATGAGAACAATACATTTCAATTAAAACAAGGAAGAACGCTATAGTCGAGTACCTCGACTATCAGATACCCGTTACTCAGCAGCAAAGCGAGATTAAAATGCGCCACCTACCGGCGGTATACAGATTTAAGCGTTATGGGCGTTAGAGTGGGCGTGGCAAATTTTTTTTGGATCAATCGATAGGTATCGACGAGACCAATACATTTCAGTTAAAATTTTTTATCTAGCATGAAAATTGTGGGCTTCACAGGTTTTGGCGGCTTGTGGGCGTCAAAGTGGGCGTGGCAAACTTTTTTTGAGTCAATCGATAGGTAATGACGAGACGAATACATTTCAGTTAAAATTTTTTATATAGCATAAAAATTGTGGGCGTCAAAGGTTTTCGCGGTTTGTGGGCGTTAAAGTGGGCGTGGCAAACTTTTTTTTAGGTCAATCGATAGGTATTGATGAGAACATTACATTTCAGTTAAAATTTTTGTTCTAGCATCAAAACTGTAGGAGCCACAGTTTTGCCGGTTTGTGGGCGTTAGAGTGGGCGTGGCAGTCTACTGAAACAAACTTGCGCTGCGTAAGAAGCTCAGGAATCTGCACGCCAAATCTCAATAGCCTAGCTCTCATAGTTTCCGAGATCTCAGCGTTCATCCGGACAGACGGACAGTCGGACAGACGGACATGGCTAGATCGACTCGGCTAGTGATCCTGATCAAGAATATATATACTTTATGAGGTCGAAAACGCTTCCTTCCGCCTGTTACACACTTTCCGACGAATCTAGTATACCCTTTTATTCTACGAGTAACGGGTATAAAAATTTGTAATAGACTAAAATTGTAGTTTTAGGTAATGGCTTACCCTACTTTTAAGGTTAATAGTAGACAAAATTTTAATTCCAATGAGTGCTATTAAATAAGTCCATATGTCCTATAAAACCAGAAACTATAGAATTATAAAAGTAGAGTTTGCTCTTGCCCCCAGACACAGTCTTTGGTCTTGCCGGGAAACCTGCATTTGGTTTTGTAGACCGGGGATCGATTCTCACCGCGGACAAAATAAAAAAAAAGGAAGAACGCTATAGTCAAGTACCTCGACTATCAGATACCCGTTACTCAGCTAATGGGACCAAAGGGAAATGGAGATATGCAAGCAGCAAAGCGAGATTAAAATTCGCCACCTACCGGCGGTAGACAGATTTAAGCGTTATGGGCGTATAGGTATAGGTATTGACAAGACCAATACATTTCAGCTAAAATTTTGTATCTATCATGAAAATTGTGGGCGCCACAGGCTTGGGCGGCTTGTGGGCGTTAGAGTGGGCGTGGCACATTGCTAAAACAAACTTGCGATGCGTTACATACTTTCCGACGAATCTAGTATACCCTTTTACTCTACGAGTAACGGGTATAATGATTGTTTTTCAGAAAGATAAAATATTCACTTAGCCAAATTCACTATAATAAACAATTAAAATAAATAAGTTGTAATACTATGAGTAAGTTAACATTTTTTAATGTTTAGGTCATAAACTACCTTATTTTTAGGACATATATTGGACGTTTCATACCAACCCGGCCACCCCCGTTTTTTTTAAGGTGCACAGCACCGTTTTGAGATTAAAGCAATATCAACGTAAAGGAAGTTTACACTAGAACTATTATGTCTGGCAAACGAAAGACACGATTTACAAAAATCAAAAGCAGTTGTATTTACTCCTACATGGCCGGTTACGAAGAAAAAAGTGGATTTTATTTAGCCATAGATGAGCACTCAATAGCATATTTTAAGTCTAAAAGAATGATTTCAGTTCGATTTGTTTTATTTTCTATAAGTATATACGATTCCTTGACGTATTTTTATACCCCTGCAGAGGATATATTGATTTCAGTCAGAAGTTTGCAACGCAGTGAAGGAGACGTTACCGACCCCATAAAATGTATATATTCCTGATCAGCATCACTAGACGAGTCGATCTAGCCATGTCCCTCTGTCCGTCCGTTTCTACGCAAACTAGTCTCTCAATTTTAAAGCTATCGGGCTGAAACTTTCCCAAAAGTCTTAATTCTTGTGCAGGTAGTATATGAGTATATCTTATAGCTCCCATAAGAATAATCGGAAAAAAATTATTAAAAAAATAATATCTTTGGTGTTTTTCATCATATAACATCCTAAGCTTGGAAATAACATTTTTTAATTAGTTTTGAATTTCAAATTAAATTTAATCAAAATCGGAAAACTATATCATATAGTTGCCATAGGAACAATCGGAAAATTGGTGGGAAAATAATATGAAACAAATTATTGCTTTGGTATTTTTTAACATATAACCTCCTACGCTTGGAAATAACATTTTTTAACTAGTTCTAAATTTCGAAATTAATTTGATCAAAATCGAACGACTATATCATATAGCTGTCATAGGAACGATCGGAAAAATGGATCGAAAATTGTATGAAACAAATTATAGCTTCGGTGTTTTTTGACATTTTATCTTATACTATTGGGAATATCATTTTTTGTATTTTTAATTTTAATAACTATAACTGCAAGGGTATACAAACTTCGGCTTGCCGAAGTTAACTTCCTTTCTTGTTTACAGTAAGCAAGAACAGAACCCTGTGAAGGATAGATTTTAATCAAGATTTGAAAAGGTTAAATGTTTTTGCTCAAGTAGTAGAAAGCGACCCAGAAAAATTATGAATAAAATCATACTTGTCCTAAAAAATAAATAAAAAAGGACTAAAAGTTAATTTTTAGGTCGTGCATTACCCAAAAATTAAAATTTTGTATTTTTGCCCTACTTTTTAGGTCACGATTGGTCTAATATTTAGGGTCATTGTGTGCCTTAATTTTTTGTATTTTACTCAAAAATATTTGACAGCTACAAACCTATTTAACTAAATATGTATGTAAAATGTTGATGTTGGACATAACCAAATAATATAACAATTGCTTACAATTACTATTTTAAGAAAATTATGTTTTAATATTACAAAATAAGCTGTAGAGGTTGACGAAAACCGATTGAAAAAACAAATCCACAGCTGAGCCATATTATTGCCAAATAGGTCAGATATAGGTTCTAATAATTTGGTATTTTCAAATAATGTTTAATGCTTACTTATAATGTTATTATATTTGTTTATTATAGTGAATTCATATAAGGTAATATTTTATCTTCCAAAAAAAGTAACATTTTAATTTTGCCCGCGGTGGGAATCGATCCCCGGTCTTCCGCGCGAGAATCTGATGCGGACTAAATACGTCTGATATCTTTTTTAATTCAATATTATATTTCAAATTATTAAGGAAATATTTAATATGTTTCTTAAAAACTCTCCTCGTATCAGAGGCAAGCGCCTTACAAATTCCGCACTATGTAACGCAGGAGCGTGTAAGTTCATGCCAATTTCTAACTTCCTCAAGATTTAAATGCAATATTTTACAACTTCATTATATTCAAAATGCACATGTTCTGTGCGACGATAGCATGACCTTTTCAGCTCACTTTATAACATTAAAACATGGATTTTCTTAAAACAGTGCATTAAATAATTATAAGCAATGCAATTATTGTTTGACTAGGTTCAACATTAATATCTAACAGACATATATAGTTTAAAAGGTTTTTAGTTGTCAAATATTTCTAGGTAAGATGCCATTTAAGGCTATTAGGGTATTCCTAATCTCAAAAGAAGGCAAAATAGTGCAAAAATTGTGTTTTTAGGTAGTACATGACCTAAAAATTAACTTTCGTCTATTTTTAATTTTTATACCCGTTACTCGTAGAGTAAAAGGGTATACTAGATTCGTCGGAAAGTATGTAACAGGCAGAAGGAAGCGTTTCCGACCCCACAAAGTATATATATTCTTGATCAGGATCACTAGCCGAGTCGATCTAGCCATGTCCGTCTGTCCGTCTGTCCGTCTGTCCGTCTGTCTGTCCGTCCGGATGAACGCTGAGATCTCGGAAACTATGGGAGCTAGGCTATTGAGATTTGGCGTGCAGATTCCTAAGCTTCTTACGCAGCGCAAGTTTGTTTCGGCACAGTGCCACGCCCACTCTAACGCCCACAAACCGCCCAAAACTGTGGCTCCTACAGTTTTGATGCTAGAATAAAAATTTTAACTGAAATGTATTGTTCTCATCAATACCTATCGATTGACCCAAAAAAAAGTTTGCCACGCCCACTTTAACGCCCACAAACCGCGAAAACCTGTGACGCCCACAATTTTCATGCTAGATAAAAAATTTTAACTGAAATGTATTGGTCTCGTCGATACCTATCGATTGATCCAAAAAAAAATTTGCTACGCCCACTCTAACTCTTAAATCTGTATACCGCCGGTAGGTGGCGCATTTTAATCTCGCTTTGCTGCTTGCATATCTCCATATAGCTGAGTAACGGGTATCTGATAGTCGAGGTACTCGACTATAGCGTTCTTCCTTGTTTAGGTTAGGAATGACCTAAAATTTTGTTTATCTTTTTTCTGGGTGTACAATGTACCATGAACAATGTACATTGTACATACATATTTTATTAATTTACCTAACTTTTTATATTAGATGAGAAAAAGTCGATAATGAAAGCTTATTGGAATGACCTTGGATAGAAAACTAATTAACAATTTTTAATAAAGATTTTTCTCTTTTCCATCTTTAAAAAGTCATTCTTTGGTTGGCCGGCTTACAGACATTACAGACATTTCCGGTACTGATTGGTTGCCTAAGGTCAATCGAAGCCCGACTAAGCGTGGCAAATTATCCTTAACATAATCAACCGCCAGTTTGTCCAGCCATCACGTTTTCTCTACCACATCTCTGCACTGAAAAATGTCAGCTTAAGTCGTCGAGTACCTTGCTTCTAAACACCAAACCAACAAGCTACCTAGTGTGTATTCCTTTAGTTGCTTATAACGTTTTAATAAATTGTCCAAATCGAACAATTGTTGGCGTGTCGAGGGGTACTGATAATAAGAACTAAATCCCATCTAACTTTCCTATAGTTCTTATGAAAGCAACATGATATGGTCAGATTTTATAAAATGAAATGAATATTATCATGGGAAAGATCCGTTACTCGTTGAATACAAAGTAGGGACTTTGAATAAAAGTTATGAAAAAAAACAAAATGAAGCCGTGAAAAAATTTAAATAGGTGAAAAGTTTGAGAAAATTAAAAAAAAAGTGTATAAATTAAGCCGAATGTATCCATTGTCTGTCATAAAAATGAAAAATCAACGACCGTTATTGATTCATGTTAATTATTTTTTGGGTAAGACATTCCCAATACGACCAGGAAAATCGGGTTTCTCAAAACGGTTGGTTATGGTTATCTTATGTAAAAATTCTGAGTGTATCAGTTAGTCCTTTATTATATACACATACATATTTTCAGGCTAGGTGGGCGCTTTACCATAAGACCTCAGTACAGCCAGCAACAGTTGTAGGTGCACAGCAGCTTCTCCAGAGGCAATAGCAAATTTCTGTCAATGAGCGACAGCATTCGCAACTTTAACAATGGAGGACGAGGGTTGAGGAAGGAGCTGATGCCAGGAAAAGGTGCGTGGAGCCCGCAGAACGACCTTTGATGCAGCAGAGAACGACGAGCAGCAGGAGCATTGGCACGGCCAGTTTCCGCAATGTGGCCAATGGCAGTGGAGGAGCTGGAGGAAGTGGGTCTAAGGGAGCAGGCCCTGCCCGCAGCAGCTTCCGGTTCTCCGGAGGCGGCATTCTGCGGCACTCCTCGTCACCCGCCTCGAGCTGTCACTCCACCAACAAGTCACATTCGAGCAGCTTCTGGAGCAAACGCGGAGGCAATCCCAACCTAATGGACAGGTGAGTGGGATAACACTTGCTAACAAGTTAAAATCCATGAAACGATTTTAAGCCTGTGATGGTAAATTCTGATTGTGCTGAAAATGTCAGTAACATTTTTCTCGATGGCCCTTTTTTTTGTTCCAAGTTTTATATGTTAAATATCGAATTTCAGTCAGAAGTTTGCAACGCAGTGAAGGAGACGTTTTCGACATAAATTACATATGTACGAGTATATGTTGTTCTTGATCAGCATGACTAGACGAGTCGATCTAGCCAAGTCAGTCAGTCCGTCAGTTCCAACGCGAGCTAGTCTCACAGTTTTAAGGCGATAAAGCCTTTCCAAAAGTCTATTTTCTGTTGCAGGTGTATATATGGATATAGTTCCTATGGGAGTTCCTATAGTCTATATTTTCCGATTAAGCTTGTTCCGAATTATATATGTTCTACCTGTAATAGAAAACAGACTTTTGGGGAGGATCCATCGCGATAGCTTTAAAACTGAGAGACTAGTTTGCATAGAAACGGACAGACGGACAGACGGACAGACGGACATGGCTAGATCGACTCGGCTAGTGATCCTGATCAAGAATATATATACTTTGTGGGGTCGGAAACGCTTCCTTCTGCCTGTTACATACTTTCCGACGAATCTAGTATACCCTTTTACTCTACGAGTAACGGGTATAAATATGGCTAAGCATTGAAAAAAATGTAAGACAAGGAATTCGGTTTCAGTAAGTTTTTAGAACCTTTCGGTCTACAATCAAGTAAGCAACATTTTTTAATCTAGTCATATTTTTATTAAAAAGAAGTACGATTAAGTAATAAAGTTTTATACATGTTAAATTGGGTTTTAATTATATGCTAGAAAGAGAAATAAGTATTTGAAAATAAAAATGAAAAAAAAACAAAATAAATTACATGCATTTTATAAGTATACTTACAAATTTCCGCTCACGGGCATTAACACGGTGTATTTTATAAGACTTTTTATACCCGTTACTCGTAGAGTAAAAGGGTATACTAGATTCGTCGGAAAGTATGTAACAGGCAGAAGGAAGCGTTTCCGACCCCACAAAGTATATATATTCTTGATCAGGATCACTAGCCGAGTCGATCTAGCCATGCCCGTCTGTCCGTCTGTCCGCCTGTCTGTCCGTCCGGATGAACGCTGAGATCTCGGAAACTATGGGAGCTAGGCTATTGAGATTTGGCGTGCAGATTCCTGAGCTTCTTACGCAGCGCAAGTTTGTTTCAGCACAGTGCCACGCCCACTCTAACGCCCACAAACCGCCCACAACTGTGGCTCCTACAGTTTTGATGCTAGAATAAAAATTTTAACTGAAATGTATTGTTCTCACCAATACCTATCGATTGACCCAAAAAAAAGTTTGCCACGCCCACTTTAACGCCCACAAACCGCGAAAACCTGTGACGCCCACAATTTTCATGCTAGATAAAAAATTTTAACTGAAATGAATTGGTCTCGTCGATACACGATTTGCCACGCCCACTCTAACGCCCATAACGCTTAAATCTGTATACCTCCGGCAGGTGGCGCATTTTAATCTCGCTTTGCTGCTTGCATATCTCCATATAGCTGAGTAACGGGTATCTGATAGTCGAGGTACTCGACTATAGCGTTCTTCCTTGTTTTTAGTACGGACGGTCTTAAAATGGTAATCATGAAATCGTACTGTTTGTACTTGATTTTAGCACGGTGTTTTTCCCTAAGTGTAGTGAATATAGAATATATATTTATTTGATAAGCATGTTCGTCTGTCCATATGAGCACTGAGATCTCGAAAACTATAAAAAATGAAAAGATTGGGCTTACGCATAAATCCTAGGGGCTCTTGAGTAGCGCAAGTTTGTAAATTAAAATAAATTACATCGATCAATACCTGCCTAAATGCTGAAAATCGTATTAATTGCATTGTTATTTTAAAAGTTATGACTAAATTAAACCCCGCTACCGCTAGGGGCCATGGCGCTGGCATCGAAACTTGTCGGATTTCTTCGAGTTTTAACAATAGTTTCTGAGATATTAGCTCTATAATACACAATATCTAAAAAATATGTTTCTCGAAAATACCTCAAGAACGATTCTTTGAAAAAAGGTTTGAATGATACCAGCGTGTACAGGAAACCAAAATGTCTAGAAATGTGAACTCTTATGGTTAAAAACTAGTGTTATAGATTTGTACGTTAAAAATGCCGTTCTACGATGGCAGAGGCTGAGCAGAGCTATTCCTTATGTCCGCTTGATGGGACTTTGCCGAACGCTGTTTTAAAGCTAGAATAAAAGTTTTAACGCCTACCTAACGCCCAAAATGATATGTATGAACGCGCATATCTCGAAAACTATAAAAGCTACAAAGTTGGCAATACGGATGCAAGTTCTAGAAATTCCTGCGCAGCGCAAGTTGGTTTTATAAAAGTGTTACAACCACAAACCGCCCAAACCAATACATTGTGTTTATTGATGGGCATTATCCGCTTTCATTTCATTCTTGTGTTCATAAACACCGTCTCATGATTTCGACAACGCACTAAACTTGAATATGAATTCAGCCTTAATGCGTGAAATGATTAAATCTGGATTCCAAGTGAAAATGTATGGTAACCGCCCGGTTTCTCATGCTTTATGCGTGGACAAATCGGCTTTGTAGCCATCGATGGCTTCGATGAGCTGGCCAATGATGTGTTCACCGAATCGAAGGAGAAAAACGGGGAAAACATTTCCTCTCTTGATCAACCTGGTCTCCTGATAGAGACATATATGCCAAGTAGCCGTCCAACTTCAAGTAAGTACCTATATTCATTGCTTATAAACTTTTAGACGATGGTCATTTTTAATGATTTCACTTGGTGACAACAAAGAGGCGTTGGACAGACTGGAGATGCAGAACCAGAAGTTCCTTGGGGCTCAAGGGGAAATTGATGCCTCCTTGTGCAGAGCGTGCGTGATGTTCTGTCGGAGGATCGGGCCGCGACCCAAAGTTTCATGCGTAATTTTTTTAAATACATAACTTCAATAAGATTTTTGTACCACAGTAAAATATTTATTTATTTAAAACTGATTCTCAATGGAAATCTATCTATGGCTTGGTTACAATGCCAGTGTCGTGGAACGGATTAACGTATCGCTCAATCCTATAGCAATTTAAATGTAGCGCTCATTATTTCAGTATTTTTTTATCGATGTTGTAACCTTCTAGAGGGATTATGTTGTAAACTAATTGCGGTCACATGAAATGGTGAATTGTAAGCCCAAATCTCCCGCTTTGAATTATTCTGATTGGAGGATTCAAAGACACTGGGAGGCAAGACTGCGGTACGTAAATTAATTGTTAAGATAAGGTTAAATCTAAAGCATGTATTTTTTCGACTAGAATAAAACACACACCACACAGCTTACGCTCTAGTTCTACGCTACAAGACAGTTTGATTCTTGTTTCGGTTCTAAGCTTCTTTAAAGTCAACTCCCAGAGGATCTCTACCGGTCGGCATCAGGCAGTCTGATGGTTGCTGGTTACTTTCAAATTCGTTGCTTGGCGTAAACTTGTCCTTTCTTATTCCCAAAAAGCTATAAAGTGCGGCGCAAGCGAAAGCAACAACCGAACAAATTTGTGGCCAATGTCTATTCTTTTGGCCAGGCATCTCCTGCGTCCTTTCAGTCGCCCACTACTATTCTTCCCGACCTAAGGTAGCAGTTTAAGGACTCTATCTCCGGAGTAAGATGTCCAGTGAATGGGTTTAGAAGTCACGGTAGTTATGGGTATGCACGATCTCCCAGGATAAGAAAGGAAATCTCTTTACTTTGTTTTTGGAAATCCGGAATAATTCGGGTGCGATCTTAAAAAATTGCAGATTCCTTAAAGACCGTGGCATCGTGGACACTTCTTGGAAACATCGTGATTACGTCTCTGATTTTACAAATATATTGTTTTAAAAATGTATAAATATATTGTACTAAAAACCAATACCAAAATATTTACTTAAGAGTCATTGTTGTCAACCACAGCTTGTATGACCTTCGATGTCCATCTTTTTCGATTAACAAAATCCATAAAGCCAATCTTTGGGGCTTTAACAGGATTGTGTGTTCCTAAATAATTGGTATATCACTTTTAATATAATTTTTAGATATACTTGAATGCTTTTTGCCGTCAATAGTTTTTTAAAGCCTGGAATTTTGGTACGAAATTAATGTACTAGCGATTTTTAGTATTGCTTTAACAACAATGTGAAAGTATTTATGGACAGTACTTTTTTGTACTCCAACTACATCCCCAATGACGCGATATTTGGTACAGATTGCAAATTTGTATATGCAGATTGTCACCTGCTTTTCCAAAGGCATCGGAATTTTTATGAATGCGGTTTGTTTCGTAGTATGTCGCATATTTCAAAAAATGAAGCTTTGGACATTCATACTTTTTTTAAAAATCAAATTTTCATTCCTTGGCTCCTCTCAGCGGCTTTGGAAATTAGATTCCCGGCTCGCTTTGACGATAAATTTTTTTTTCGATCTAAATCATCGCGCAAATAAAATCTTTGCTGGTCCTAGGATTACTGCCACATTGATCATAAACAGGTGGCTTGAGGGTATATGCGCGATACGCCCACGTAGACAAACTAGGTGTCGCAATCTTTCAGGAGATGTAGTGATTGCTCCTTTTAAAGCCACCAAGGATGTGTGGTGTGCGTAAAAAGAGGAAAAATTAAAAGTTTGAGTTAGCTCTAATTATAAATCAAACAAAAACACCTCTTAACGAGGTAAAAAGTAGTGGCGAAAGCGGTCATAACAAAAATTTGTGATATCAACAATTGTGACCAAAAATCATATTACATTTGATTAAATAAATTAACTATATTAAAAAAAACACCTCTTAACGAGGTAAAAAGTAGTGGCGAATGCGGCCATAACAAAAATTTGTGATATCAACAATTGTGACCAAAAATGATATTACATTTGATAAAATAAATTAACTATATTAAATTTATGATTTCGGCCCGCAACAGTAAATATTTATTTACCTGCACGTAAATTTTCTGCTGTAGCGTGCCGAATACATAAATTTAATATAGTTTATTTATTTTATCGAATGTAATATAATTTTTCGTCACAATTGTTGATATCACAAATTTTTGTTAAAAGCGCTTTCGCCACTACTTTTTACCTCGTTAAGAGGTGTTTTTGTTTGATATCAGAAGATTTTTTTTGCACAAGAGTTTAAGTACCTCAATACCATGACTAGGAGTCGTCCCCATGAATATTAAACTTTTTAATAACAAGTTTTATCGCTTCAATTACCTATTTTAATAGCACAAGTTTGGAATCTCAAGGGCTGTATAGTTTCAGATTCAAAGAGAAACCTGTCGTTTCTTATATTTCCCGCCGAACTAGCGGGTTTTTCCAAAGAGGTAGAACAAATAGATCAAGTTTCCTATTTCGATTAGCTTCGTGCAAGTAAAGGACCCTAAAACCATAACAGATTTTCCGTTTGCAAAAATCTAATAAGAATACTTTTCATCAAAATGGTTTTTTTCTTGTTTATTCCAATAAGTATGAAATATTTCGTATACGGAGCTGAAACGAGTTGCACTTTTTATCGCTTATTATCTTCCAAACGGTAATTTTTAGGGCAAAAAGTGTTACATATCAAAAGTTGAGGAATTTCAAGAGCTATATGATTTGAAAATTAAAAAGAAATCGTTCTACTTAATTTTAAGAACATAGTCAAAAAGTGGTTTTAAAAAATAACTTTTTGTCATAACTCGAAATCTATTATATTCAGACAACTTTACTATATGAAGGGTATTTAGCAAATTAAATTATCTTTTCAGAGATACATAGCCCATTTCTGTATCATTAGTTGTTTAGATACTATAAGCATTTTAAATCGGGCTTTTTTTTTTTTAATTTTCCGCTAAACTGGCGGGTTTTTCCAAAAGTCGTAGAACAAACGTTTTCTAATTCAAGCTGCTTTATACACCCATAGGGTTTCCAAAACCCTAAAGCTACGATGGAAACGCTTTCTTCTGCCTGCTACATACTTTCCGACGAATCTAGTATACCCTTTTACTTTACGAGTTACGGGTATAACAAGGAAGAACGCTATAGTCGAGTACCCCGACTATCAGATACCCTTTACTCAGCTAAAGGGACCAAAGGGAAGAAGAAGAAAATCTTGTTTTTTGAATTACTTTTGAACGGAACATCGGATTTCAACAAATCAGGTGTTATTCGTCGCGTATTCTCAGTAAGAATAAAACTAGCTAAACAGCTGGGGGCTTTTATCCCCACCGAATCCAGCAGCTCCAATTTTCTAAATTTTTACTTTTACACTTTCATCGCTTTTTCTCCCAAACAAATCTATATTTCAAAAGTCTTGGTATGCAATCTTCTTAGTTAGTGCGATACCTTTCGATTGGTGTATCACTCGTTATGATTCTGCGGCTATATATAGTAGTTGTATTCGCACGCTCTCTTGCGCGCTTCGCCACTACGTGTACTGCCGTCCACAGTGATATATATATTTGCCAACTCTCCTAAATGGAGTGATTCTTTTTCTCAAGTAAATCTTTTAAGTCTTTGAAAAGTTTTAAGATTTGAAATTCGGATCTGATGTATAATCCACTGCGCAATGGCAAAACAAACCCGGTCTCGCTCGCTGCTAAAACGAAATTGATAAATAAAATGTACTTTTAATTTACTTACCAAATATATGTGTCGCCTAAACATGGGTTATTGTATTTCACGCTTTCAAAAGTTCACGAAACTCATAGCATACACTAAGTAATAGTGTTTATTACTTCGATTTCATTTTGACTGCTCTATCGGATCAGATTTTTAATTTTGCGGCTTTATTTAGAAGTCTCAAGCACACTCACTGTGCGATTCGTCACTACGTGTACTGCCGTGTTACCAATGTGATGCCACAGTGATATTCCCACAAAAGGTGTCAGATAGCCCAGTTCAAACATTTCTCCAAGTTACAAGGGTTAATTAATTCCCGTCCTATTGCTAAGGGCAATCAATTATATATCTTTAAGCAATTAAATGCACATTAACAACAGACTCACAACACGATGTATACGTAATCTGGCGCGTATGGCGGCTCGGATATAAATCACTCATACGTCATGTGGTGCAGCGGAACACAAAATAAACACGAAACCGTTTGTCGCACAACTTCAGCTGCTGCCACATTGTAGTTGCTGGAACCATAAATACTCAAACACGAAAAAAGAAGCAAATTTCGCATTCAACATTGTTGCCAGCAGTCCAAACATGCAGGAGAAACCCCTAAAAGCATTCAAAATAAAAGGGAAGTGCAGTCAAAAGTGCCACACAAATTGCAGATGACTTTTCCTGCTGGTTGTCAGCAGCGTTTCGTTTCAGCTAAAAGGAATTGCAGGTCCGTTCTCGACTTAAGGCCCGGAAAAATGTGATGAATGTCACGATTATTCGCTGCGACTTTTGTACTTTTCGTATAACAAACAAGTCGCCAGATAAATGTATAAATTCCTAATGATCTACCAGTCCCATGTTAAAAAGAGTAAGATACGGCAATATATATACCAAAAAAGAAAAGAAACCAGTAAAAGTTCGTGAAAAATTATATGTTAAACATGTGACGTCACTTGGGCGTCACTTTAATATTTATTTTTTGACTTCTCTTGGCGTCAGGTTAAATTAGAAGGGGAAAGATTCGAATATGACCTTCAAAACGTTGAACGGTGTTGTTACGTTTCTATGTGTCAAGTTTTTTTTTGTTTTTTTTATTTTTTCTAACGTGCAATTTTTTTGTTTAATACTATTCTAACGTGGGCAACCAGTAAATGTGATAATATAAAACGTGGGATTTGGGTTTTTCATCTATGGCAGGCTAGAAGAGTGGATCGCTGGTCCGCCTAGGTTCAGTGCCGGTCCAGGGGGTGGGTCCTTCGCAGCCTGCTGGTCCTCTCTCGATATTGTCCAGCAGGTTTATCGCCAGAGTGTGTGGGTGGTCATGCATGGATTTCTTCCTCCACCCATGGGAAGTTGAGTACATCATGGAGCATGGGCATTGGAGGCGACGCGAAGCGTTTTATTTTCGAACGCCTGGATGATGCTCACGTTGGATTTGCTGGCTGTGCCTCATAATTGGGTCCCATATGGTATTATATACCAGGAGCTTCGATGACGTTGGGAGCTTAGACGCTTGGCGACGCTTCTTTGCGATGTGTGGTTTTGGTTAGGTTCTTATTTTGTGTTGCACAGCGTTCAAAATAAATAAAATGAATAACCATTTTTATATTCGGGTCAATATGAGTCGTGTCGAAAAAATCACATTCTTTCACTCATAGAATGCATTCCTTTGATCTCCCTAAAAGTCCGACTTTTCGCCCGTGTATTTAGAAAATCGCCATAAAAGAAGATTTAAATTGGGAAGAATATATAATAATATAATATATGTAGGGTATTACAAATTCAAATGTTTATTTCGGGTATAGTTAAGTAAATTAAAGAAACAAAGGCATTTTATTTAAACTCCACGACTTTCGCACTCTATGAATGACGCGACTTCCTCTGACAAAATATCCACATCAACTGACTTGCTTACATTTATAAGGCGTAATTTTTAATGAAAGAAGGTGATGGATATAGATCACTTTGATGAAAAGGGATAGGAACTCTTTTGCGTTTTTGGCTGATGAAGAATGCTTGAGGTTGCGGAACTCTGAACAGTGTGTCCCCATATGAAATTAAATAGGTTGCTGTAAATCCCTCAATGTATCCATATCCCACATCTATGTTGCGAAGTTCATTAGAGTAGATGAC